TCCCGTATTGATCATATTGCATAGAGCGATCATATCCGAAGCGTGTTTTATGGTAACGGTCCAATTGGCTTTGAAGTAAGGCTCATCAAAGCAAGGCCATACTGAGCGAATATCTGGTCCTGACTCATCATCTGTTGAAAATATCCATCTGCAATGAACCACTTCATTCTGAAAGCCGTAAAATTTTAAGATTTTGAAAATACGAGACATTAGGTCGCTCAAAACGATAATATGAAACGTTTCCGATGTGCAGCTTACGCCTCAACTGAATTCATACCCAAACCAAGATCAAGATTAATCATATCAAGTCAATAATGAAATCCTGTATGACTTACGCCATTTTTCCGTTGAATTCGAATATACCGAAATTAGTATATGCGCCCTCACTTGCACCATAGAAGATGTATCCGACCGACTTAATAAACAAGTAAAATACGGAATCAACTGGCAGTTGGTTTCGTAAGTATATTGTCATAACACCTGAACGACGATAATCATAACCGGGAAATATACCACTAACTATAACAAAACCAGCAATACAACTCGCTGATTCGCATACCGTTATCATAGTCTTTGATAACCTTAGAGTACTCCAACGTCGCTCCTGTCATATCGGCCAAATGTATATCTGTTGGTTGGATTAATAATCGATGAACACTGATGTTTACCTTATCAGTCGCGGTGATCACTCGCATTGTTACCTAATGATAAAGTCTTCATTGTTGTTGCTTTACCACCATTATAAAATCCCGAANCAATCACTAGTGAATAGTGGGAAAATAACATTAATTGTTGAATCAAAAGTCATATTCTTGGTCCAATCGTAATGCGCTGATGACGGAAAATAGGGCTGAATGAAGGCATCGTAGGTGAGTGGCATTATGTCTTTGGGCAGACGCTCACTGAATGGTTCATCGCCTTTCTTCACGAAGAAGTCGTAGAAAATGTGGACTGAAATCAAGCGAATGCACTGAATATGATAGGCACACATCAACATGTTCCATGGCAATTTATACTATGAGAAACATTTCAGATAGATGAATTTTCAGTTTTGCGGAGTCTGAAGCCATATTCGGCAAAAACACAATACCAACTGCAGAATTCTCCCGTTCAACCCTTGAACTTCGTAATGAAATTCATCAATCTCATTATTAAAACTGGTATTCACCACCAATCAATCGTATAAAGTAGTGAAATTCAATAATTCAATAGTATTCGTCTGAAACAATTCAGTTTTCGAAGTGAATTTCTACAGCATTAATCACGCACTTATATCGCGGTAATGTCTTGTGTGCCAAT